AATGATAATGATAATGATAATGATAATGATAATGATAATGATAATGATAATGATAAATGATATAAACATTATAATAATCATAATGATCATAAGATGTTTTATTAAAGGTTGGTTTGTCCTGGACTATATTTGCGATGTTCTCTATATAATCGGTAATTTGTTTCAAACAATAAATTAATTCTTAAAATAAAAAAGAATAATAACATAAATACAACGAAAAAGAATAACTAAAAACTTAAGACTATACTCTAAAAAGCTTGAGGTCTGATTTTTAGTGAGTTCTCTTTGGGGCAAAATATGGAGATGCCTTTTTTTCAAAAAACCCGAATTTAAATCCTCATTTAAAAAAAATAAAGATCTTAAACTTTAATGGTTGGAGTGATTATTTTAATTTTAGAAAGTAGAGAACGATGTAAGAGAAATTATTTACTTTTTTTCAAATATCGTTAAAAAAGTTTTAATTTGTATTTTGTTTATATCAACGAAAAATAAAAATGTATGAATGGTCACGGAGAAATAATAGAGATAGGAGAGGGAAAATGATAATTCATGCTTATGTTGAAAACCACAAAAAAAATGTTCAACTTATTTTTTTCTTTCTTGGATGCGCATACTGTCGCAAAATATTTTAATTATCTTTAATTCCTGTGCCCGGGATTTAGAAAACTTGGGAAAATACGGGTCGGGTCTTAAGCTGTCGCTGGGCCTTATTAACGCCTTGAGCTTTCAGATTCAAGCTGCATCTTATTTTCCACAGAAATGAGTTCATAAAACCGGTTTAATATTCTTTTTGGCGGATATCATGGTAGGAATTGACGCATTCCGGGTTTTTATGAGAACAAGACTCAACATTGAGCCTTATTCTCCACTAAAACCAACCAAGGTCGGTTTTATTTTAATTGGACCTAACTCTAGTCTAAGATCTTGCAGCTGTCAATCACGTGACACAAGCTGTCTTCAGAGTTGGGTCAAAGATTGGGTCTTAAAGTCATTACGTCTCGAGCCGAAGTTTTTAAATCGCGGGCTCTGGCCTCTTCGAAATTTTCGATTTTTTTGTTTCACTTATTTTTAACATTCAAATTTGGTGCAATCTCAAGAATATGCAAAAAAAAATACAAAAATCCTAATAATTAATAATAATATAATAATTAAATTGATTTACAGTATATCCTATGTATATTTACGGGATAAAAATTGAGTACATCAATATATTCCAATTATTACACATCTCTTAGGGCGCCAGTAAATATACATAGTAGAGACTAAAAATCATTATATACATACATTTATTGTATAATATTTATCCGTGTACATGAGGGGTATCTAGAGTAAAGTTTATTCTAGATCTATATATCCGTGAGGGGTATCTAGAGCAAGGTTTGATCTAGATATGTATATCCGCGTACATGAGGGGTATCTATAGTAAAGTTTAATCTAGATCTTTTTATCCGTGTACATAAGGGGTATTTAGAGTAAAGTTTATTCAAGATCTATTTATCCGTGTACATGAGGGGTATCTAGAGTAAAGTTTAATATAGATCTATTTATCCGTGTACATGAGGGGTATCTAGAGTAAAGTTTAATCTAGATCTATTCATCCGTGTACATGAGGGGTATCTAGAGTAAAGTTCAATCTAGATCTATTTATCCGTGTACATGAGTGGTATCTAGAGCAAGGTTTAATCTAGATTTATTTATCCGTTTATATAAGGGGTATCTAGAGTAAAGTTTATTCTAGATCTATTTATCCGTGTACATGAGGGGTATCCAGAGTAAAGTTTAATATAGATCTATTTATCGGTGTACATGAGGGGTATCTAGAGAAAAGTTTTATCTAGATCTATTTATCCGTGTACATGAGAGGTATCTAGAGTAAAGTTTAATCTAGATCTATTTATCCGTATACATGAGGGGTATCTATAGCAAGGTTTGTTCTAGATCTATTTATCCGTGTACATGAGGGGTACCTAGAGCAAGGTTTGATGGTCAAGGATCCAGTTCTACTGCGGAAAAATTACATCAAGGATCCATTTTTATCCTTTCTATTCTCAAATTCTGAAAAATAGTTTTTTTTCAAATTGTTCCTTTTTTATCTTTTCTTAACAATTCTTTTTATTCTAAGCCAGGTATTTAACCAATCAAAGTATTCTAACCCAGGTATTTAACCAATCAATGTATTCTAAACCAGATATTTACCCGATCAACGTATTCTAAACCAGGTATTTAACGGATCAAAGTATTCTAAACCAGGTATTTACCCGATTAAAGTATTCTAAACCAGGTATTTACCCGATCAAAGTATTCTAAACCTGGTATTTAACCAATTAGAGTATTCTAAACCAGGTATTTAACCGATTAAAGTATTCTAAACCAGGTATTTAACTGATTAAAGTATTCTAAACCAGGTATTTTACCGATCAAAGTATTCTAAACCAGGTATTTACCCGATCAGAGTATTCTAAACCAGATATTTAATGGATCAAAGTATTCTAAACCAGGTATTTAACGGATCAAAGTATTCTAAACCAGGTATTTACCCGATCAACGTATTCTAAACCAGGTATTTACCTGATCAAAGTATTCTAAACCAGGTGTTTACCCGATCAAAGTATTCTAAACAAGGTATTTACCCGATCAAAGTATTCTAAACCAGGTATTTAATTTCTATGAAAATGTAAAGGCCGAAGGATCATTTTAAATAACGCTTACAGTCCCCTTATCACTGAATTGAGAGTGTAAAATGTGGGTTTAAACTTTTATATTTTTATCTCATATTCTTTATTGTTCTCAATTGTATGTAATCCTGAAATCTAATCTGAACTAGCATAAACTTTTCCAGTCCTAGTGCATCAAAGCTTTGACATAAATACTGCACAAATATAACATTCAAAATACGATTATTTTGTTTCATTGAGAATAAATAGAAAAATTGTAAACAATGGAATATTTGATTAGAACCCATTTTTCATTATCGACATTATAAGCGTTCTACCAACAGATCTAGGGATATTATCTTTTACTTCAAATACATTTTGCTTGAAAGTAGGGTTTCCAGCGAATGAAAACTTTCGCGAAAAATGTAAAAAATACTTTTTCGCAATGCGAATATGGATTAAGCGAAAAAATGCAAAAACTATACGAAATTTCGAGTGAACAATTTTTGCAGCTGCAACAATGACTTGCGCAAAATAACTTCTCCGGAATTCTCTGCTCTGAAAGCTCAGCATTAGAAATTGTATTATATCATCATTAATAATTTATTTTCCTTTACTTTGATAAATGTTTTTCGCGAAATATTTGCATTTTTTTGGAAAATTTTCGCATTTTTTCGCAACATTTTACAATTTTGTATTTCGCAAATTCTCGAAAAAAAGATTTCTCATTTTTCTCGAGCAAACGGAATGCAGAAATGCAAAAATAAATGTCGAGAAATGATTTTTTCTTTTCGCTGAAAACCGTATTTATAAGTAACCTTTTGGGATTTTGTGTATCCAGCAGATAATTTCCAAGCTCTAGCCTTTTTTGAATCCAATCTTTCTTTTGGTTGACATGTGAGTAAATTCCAATCCGCGTAAATGGGGTTTGAATTCTGACTCAAATTTTAACAGAAGACTCCGGAAACGTCGAGATTGGATATACGGTTTAAAAAGTGGTTTAAAAAAAAGCTAAGTTATTATTCAGATTAATCCTTGGGAGGAGGGGGAGGTACGGTTTTTCAAAAACTGTTCAAAGGTGCTGCTTTTCCTTTGAAAAAATTTCATTGAAAGAACACAAAAATTCGAAATATTTTTGATTTTGGATCAAAAATTCTGCTGCTGATGACGAAAACATGATTTTAAAGCCATTGCAATATTTTTGTTGTTTTATAGATTTTTTTATTTTCAAGCTGAAACAATGTCTCATACATTTTCTAACCCGAAAAAGAATATCTTCGCCTGCGAATGCTTGAAAACAACAATTTTTCAGATTTAAAAACATTTCGAACGGTTTCGATAAAAATTCACCCTTTTTTCGACCTTCACTCGGGTGGGCAATAACATCTTCAGATCAGCTTAATATTCATAACTGCTGCCTACATCTCTTTACATGGTTTTCGGGCAATACTATACTTTGAATACTGTTTAAAATATGATAATATCTTCATGTTCTCCAGCCTACTTATTCCTCGGCACACAGTGTCATGAAACAGTTCCTTGCCCGGTCATCTTCAGACTAAACAGGTTTATTTTTCTAATATTTATCAGGGATTATTCAGGGATTTTTTAGGATAATTTAGGGATTTTTTAGGGATTATTCAGGGAATTTTTAGGATAATTTAGGGATTTTTTAGGGATTATTCAGGGATTTTTAGGATAATTTAGGGATTTTTTAGGGATTATTCAGGGAATTTTTAAGGATAATTTAGGAATTTTTCAGGGATTATTCGGGGATTTTTAAAGAATTATTTAAGGATTTTTCACGGAAATTTAAGGGATTTTTTCAGGGATTATTAAAAGGGTTTTTCAGGTATATTTTTAGGATTTTTCAGTGAATATTAAGGAAATGTTAGGGATTTTTAGTGGTTTGTCTTGCTTTTGTTTTTCAAAACAGTAATAACTTAACATATTTCTAAAATTACGCTTTTAAAAAAAACAGAGGAAAGTTAATCAGAATTTCATATTTCATTAATTCAAAATCAAAATTGTTAAAATGGAGTAGTACGTCTACAGGTCTAAATATCTACACCGAGTAGACAGTAAACTACTGAATGAGGATTTTGTTATATATATTTGTTCAAATTTATAATAATGTACAATATATCAATAGAATTATAATTGTTCAAATTTATAATAATGTTCAATATATCTATATCATCATAAACCAGTTACAAATTAGATTAAGAGGTTGCCACAAATATTTCCGCTTTCTTGTGGGGCTTCTGTAATTAACTTTGTAATGTGAACATTAATTAAATTCAATTAATTAAACGTAAGAAATCTATTGTATGATGAAAATATGCATTGAAAGGGCATTGAAAATGTTCCCATTCAATTAATATAATTTTTCATTTTAGTAATTCTTTTTTTTAAATATTCACTTCATTAATTTCCTATGGACTATACTTTACAATTGAATTTACGATCAAATAATTTCGTGGAATGATTTTAGTTTTTCATGAAAAAAAACTAAAAATATCAAAAACCTTTTGTCAAAAATAATTTTGATAAATTTTCATTAAATTTTGAATTTGCTTTTTTACACGCAGATCTGAGTTTCTAATCATCCTTTAAAAGAGATGTTTTTTCTCGACAATTCTACATAGTAACGTTCAGGATTCTACGTGGTATTGTTCAGGATTCTACATGTTTAGGGTTCTCCATGTTCAGGGTTCTACATGTTCAAAGTTATCAATGTTAAGGGTTCTCCATGTTCAAGGTTCTACATGTTCAGGGTTCTCCATGTTCAGGGTTCTACATGTTCAGGATTCTACATGTTTAGGATTATACATGTTTAGGGTTCTACATTCATGTTTAAGATTCTACATATTCAGGATTATACATGTTCAGGGTTCTACATGTTTAGGGTTCTACATGTTTAGGATTCTACATGTTCATGGTTCTACATGTTTAAGATTCTTCATGTTTAAGATTCTACATGTTTAAGATTCTACATCTTCAGGGTTCTGCATGTTCATGTTTCTCAATGTTTAGGGTCCTACGTCTGGATAGAATGTTTGAATTTTTCAATAAAACTGAAACAAGAACAAACTTCCCGAATGCATTTAGAATAACTAAGGTAATATATTGGAAGATGTAAAATTCAAATTACACCAATATGAATAAAGCTTTTGGGCAAAATATCCTTTTTTGCATACAATATAATCATTGTGTGAGCCTCATAAACATGGGAACTAAAAGAAGACTTAAATACAGTCGTTTAATTTAAATATATGATACATTTTTTAGATGGTATCAATTATGAGCATTTAACATTCTTTGTATCTTTAGCATTTTAGAATAAATCACATATTTCGTCAATTTTAATTTTAATTAATAATTTGAATTCTGGAAGAATTAATAATATCTCTTTTAATCCATGGCAAAAGTTAAGATATAAACACGAAATTTGTTTTGATCATAAACACGAATCTATCAGGTTCTGTCCTTATCCCAGCAAGCTGTGACTTTCGATCCCAATTTTATTTATTGAACACACATTTTGCCTTTTTCTGGGTATTGCGCACAAGCTGTCAGAGAGAATTTTTTTGCCTTGCTTCACAATTCAAACTTTTTGTTTCAGATAATTTACTATATTCTTATCCTTGTACATTGGAATGCTTGCTTCTTCTTCGCCATCAGGAATTTATTTTTACTATAGTCAAATGTCGGAACAAAGTTTATCAATTGTTTAAAACCTTTCATGTTTTAGAGAACTTGGTCTGGCAACAATTATTCTTAAGTTCTAGAATCTAGGGGACATCGTGTTTTATTAGTTCATGAAACTTAAGGGTTTAACATGCTCTTTAAAAAAAAATATTTACTTCTATAAATTTATATTGCACGTTTTATTAGGGCTGGGCGCGTTCCAACTTTTTACACCTGTTTCGTTAACGGTTAGTTCCAACCGTTTTTAGAATAAATCTCAGGTAGCCGTTTGTTTTAGAGGGTAAGAACGAAACTTTGTTTTGTCAACGTTATTTTCCGTTATTTTTAAAGTTACCATTAATTAACGATCTTAATTTTATTAACAGGGTTAACAGAAAATTTTCAACTATTATTACAGAATTAACAGTGTTGACGGCGCAAAGCAGAACAAAAACGAAATTCATCGTTTTAAAAAAAATTCCGTTTCGTTTTCAACTGCAATTTTTTTTCAAAAACGGCTAATCCGTTTCGTTATTAATTTAAGGTGTTTGCCATTCGTTAACAGACTCTTCTGTTTATTATCGAAAACCCATGTTCGTTAATGGAACTTTGCCCAGCCCTATATTTTATAAAATATCTTTTAAATAATCATTAATGGGACTGTAAACGTAATCTTAAGTAACCTTCCATGCAAAGAGGGTAATGCCCGATTTATAAGGGACTGACACTGTTTATCGAGTAGAGACTAGGAAGAGCTCTTACAGTCACTTACAGTTCCTTCAAGCAACTATACGGTTACTAGCGTCACTTACAGTTCCTTCAAGCAACTATACGGTTACTAGCGTCACTTACAGTTCCTTCAAGCAACTATACGGTTACTAGCGTCACTTACAGTTCCTTCAAGCAACTATACGGTTACTAGCGTCACTTACAGTTCCTTCAAGCAACTATATGGTTATTAGCGTCACTTACAGTTCCTTCAAGCAACTATACGGTTACTAACGTCACTTACAGTTGCTTCAAGCAACTATACGGTTACTAGTGTTACACAGTTCCTTCAAGCAACTATACGGTTACTAGCGTCACTTACAGTTCCTTCAAGCAACTATACGGTTACTAGCGTCACTTACAGTTCCTTCAAGCTATGCAATATAAGGAAGTGTGTACATCGTACATATAAGGGGATGGGGAAAAGGGTAGTTCCATTGAAATATGTTGAATTTAATTTTTTTGTGGAGATTTTAAAATCATTTATTTTGGTAGCGCAGATGTAGTTCAACCCAAAACAAATGATTTATGAAAAATAATGAATTTTTCAGTTTCTCTATTGGATTTGAGACTGATGGCTGGGTCTACCAGGGAAGAATATTTTATTTAATATTTTCATTAAAAATTTTCATTAACAATTCATTAAAAAAATATTAACAATTCATTTAAAATTCAGCAACAATGCATTACCAAATCATTAACAACTCATTAACAATTCATTAACAATTCATTAGCAATGTATTAAAATTCGTTAACAATTAATTAACAGTACATTAAAAATTCATTAACAATTCATTAACAGTACATAAAAATTTGTTTACAATTCATTAACAATTCGTTAACAATTCATTAACAATTCGTTAACAATTCATTAACAATTCATTAAAAATTCATTAACAATTCATTAACAATTCATGAACAATTCATGAACAATTTATGAACAATTCATTAAAAATTCACTAAAAATTCATTAAAAAATCAAAAAACAATTCATTAAAAATAAAAAGGACTGTAAGCGTATTTTCAAGAGACCATCTATGCAAAGATGGAAATGCCCAATTTACAACGGTTCCCTTGATAAAGAAAAGGGGAAGATAACGTCGTTTTTCTGGCTCGGGAAAAATGTTTCATTCTGATATTTCTAGAAATGCGCAAGTGACTCTTGCAGGGAAACCACAAATCAAAATCAAAATTTTAAAAAAAACATGGATCTCTAATTGATTCTGAACTAACAATAATATTAAATTAGACTAAAAAATGACGGAATTGTACGCGTAATTTGAATTAGGCGGTGTATTAAAGATTCGCAATTATGTGCCCTTTTACCTTGCCTCTGCTAGAGGTATTTTACAATAATAAACCAGGTTACCCACAAAGGATTCCTTTTGTTTCCTTTTGGTAATCTTGTTTTTTTCTGGAAAATTAAAAAATTGCCATTAAAGATTATGTCAAAAAAATCCAATAAATGTTTATATTGGTGAATTGTTTAAGGTCGTTATTAAAGCTTCATCCTTTATGGGTCACCCTGTATTGTTTATAAATGTTTTTCTTTTCATAAATAAAATTTCTCTATCTAGGGATCTGAGAACCTTCATGATCAATATATCTTTAGGTATGTAATATTTATTCATAATTACTATTGTTATTTCTTCCTATTTTTATAATTTTCTAGGATATTTCATAATGAAATTCCTGTAAAATATCTTAAACCAGGATTCCTAAAATATTCTATACCAGGGTTCCTAGGATATTCTACACGAGGGTTCCTAGAATATTCTATACCAGGGTTCCTAGAATATTCTATACCAGGGTTCCTAGAATATTCTAGGCCAGGGTTCCTAGAATATTCTATACTAGGGTTCCTAGAATATTCTATACCAGTATTACTAGAATATTCTATACCAGGGTTCCTAGGATATTCTATACCAGAATTCCTAGAATATTCTATACCAGGGTTCCTGGAATATTCTATGCCAGGGTTAATAGAATATTCTATGCCAGGGTTCCTAGAATATTCTATACCAGGGTTCCTAGAATACTCTATACCAGGGTTCCTAGAATATTCTATACCAGGGTTCCTAGTATATTCTATACCAGGGTTTCTAGAATTTTCTTTACCAGGGTTCCTAGAATGTTGTGTGCCAGGGTTCCTAGACAATTCTAAATCAGGGTTCCTAGAATATTCTTTACCAGAATTCCTAGACAATTCTAAACCAGGGTTCCTAGAATATTCTATACCAGGGTTTCTACACCAGGGTTCCTAGAATATTCTATACCAGGGTTCCTAGAATATTCTATACCAGGGTTCCTAGGATATTCTACACCAGGGTTCCTAGAATATTCTATACCAGGGTTCCTAGAATATTTTATACCAGGGTTCCTAGGATATTCTACACCAGGGTTCCTAGGATATTCTATACCAGGGCTCCTAGAATATTCTATGCCAGGGTTCCTAGAATATTCTATATCAGGGTTCTTAGAATATTCTATACCAGGGTTCCTAGTATATTCTATACCAGGGTTCCTAGGATATTTTCTATCAGGGTTTCTAGAATATTGTGTGCCAGGGTTTCTAGAATATTCTATACCAGGGTTCCTAGAATATTCTATACCAGGTTCCTAGAATATTCTATACCAGGGTTCCTAGTATATTCTATACCAGGGTTTCTAGCATGTTCTTTACCAGGGTTCCTAGAATATTGTATGCCAGGGTTTCTAGAATATTCTATACCAGGGTTCCTAGAATATTCTATACCAGGGTTCCTAGAATATTCTATACCAGGGTTCCTAGAATATTCTATACCAGGGTTTCTAGAATATTCTATACCAGGGTTCCTAGAATATTCTTTGTCAGGGTTCCTTGAATATTCTATACCAGGGTTCCTACAATATTCAATACCAGGGTTCCTAGAATATTCTATGCCAGGGTTCCTAGAATATTCTATACCAGGGTTACTAGAATATTCTATACCAGGGTTCCTAGAATATTCTATACCAGGGTTCCTAGAATATTCTATACCAGGGTTCCTAGAATATTCTATGCCAGGGTTCCTAGAATATTCTATACCAGGGTTCCTAGAATATTCTATACCAGGGTTTCCTAAAATATTCTAGATTCTAGGTAATAAAGCTATTTTGATCTTTTTATGTTTTTTTAAGCTTTTGGTGGTCAACCTTAACCCTGACTACTATTGGAGAGACAGCCCAACCAATTCAGGTGAATTATTTTTTCATTATCAAATCAAGCTAAACTAAATAGAATATCAAGTTAAACTAAATAGAATATCAAGCTAGACTAACTAGAATATCAAGCTAAACTAACTAGAATATCAAGTTAAACTAACTAGAATATCAAGATAAACTAAATAGAATATCAAGCTAAACTAACTAGAATATCAAGCTACACTAACTAGAATATCAAGCTAAACTAACTAGAATATCAAGCTACACTAACTAGAATATCAAGCTAAACTAACTATAATATCAAGTTAAACCAACTAGAATGTCAAGCTAAATTAACTAGAATATCAAGGCTAACTAGAATATCAAGGCTAAACTAACTTTAATATCAAGTTAACCTAACTAGAATATCAAGGCTAAACTAACTAGAATATCAAGCTAAACTAACTAGAATATCAAGTTAAACTGACTAGAATATCAAGTTAAACTAACTAGAATATCAAGCTACACTAACTAGAATATCAAGGCTAAACTAACTATAATATCAAGCTAAGTAACTAGAATATCAAGGCTAAACTAACTAGAATATTAAGCTAATTGACTAGAATATCAAGACTAAACTAACAAGAATATCAAGGCTACACTAACTAGAATATCAAGTTAATTAACTAGAATACCAAGTTAAATTAATTAGAATATCAAGCTAAACTAACTAGAATATAAAGTTAAACTGACTAGAATATCAAGCTAAACTCATTAGAATATCAAGTTAAACTAACTAGAATATCAAGTTAAACTGACTAGAATATCAAGTTAAACTAATTAGAATATCAAGCTAAACTAATTAGAATATCAAGATAAACTAACTAGAATATCAAGTTAAACTAATTAGAATATCAAGTTAAACTAATTAGAATATCAAGCTAAACTAACTAAAATATCAAGTTAAACTAATTAGAATATCAAGCTAAACTAACTAGAATATCAAGTTAAACTAATTAGAATATTAAGCTAAACTAACTAGAATATCAAGGCTAACTAGAATATCAAGTTAAACTGACTAGAATATCAAGTTAAACTGACTAGAATATCAAGGCTAACTAGAATATCAAGCTAAACTAACTAGAATATCAAGTTAAACTAATTAGAATATTAAGCTACACTAACTCGAATATCAAGTTAAACTAATTAGAATATCAAGATAAACTAAATAGAATATCAAGGCTAACTAGAATATCAAGTTAAAATAACTAGAATATCAAGTTAAACTAACTAGAATATCAAGCTAAACTAATTAGAATATCAAGATAAACTAAATAGAATATCAAGGCTAACTAGAATATCAAGTTAAACTAACTAGAATATCAAGTTAAACTAACTAGAATATCAAACTAAACTAATTGGAATAAGCTAAACTAACTAGAATATCAAGTTAAACTAACTAGAATATCAAGCTAAACTAATTAGAATATCAAGCTAAACTAACTAGAATATCAAGCTAAACTAACTAGAATATTAAGCTAAACTAACTAGAATATCAAGTTAAACTAACTAGAATTTCAAGTTAAACTAACTAGGATATCAAGTTAAACTAACTAGAATATCAAGCTAGACTAACTAGAATATCAAGCTCATGGTGGACATGGAATATATTCTTATCAAACTCAATTAAAAAAGATTTGTAACAAATCTCTGGACGCTCATATTTAAATTATAAATCCCAAGAAGTAATAATGAAACAAAAATTAATTAATTGTCAAATAAAAAATGATTTGTTTAGAACAACTGACGAGAAGTTATTATAAGATTTTAAAAAATGTGTTGTTTTTCAGAATAAATTCTCATGTGTTTATTATTTGTGTTCCAAAATAGAGCTCGATCATGTCTTAATTATTTGTGTTTCATGATAGTGCTCAAGTTTTTTTATTTGTGTTCCAGGATAGCGCTCATGTGTTTATTATTTGTGTTCCAGGATAGTGCTAATGTGTTATATATTTGTGTTCCAGGATAGCGCTCATGTGTTTGTTATTCTGGATTTCCTTGTCGGAGTTATAATATTCGCGACAATCGTTGGAAATATTGGGTCAATGATCACTAATATGAGTGCAGCCAGGTTTGTCTTTTTTATCTTATTTCTATTTCAACTTTTATTTGTTGCTCAATAATTCAGCATTTTCACTCCAATGAAACAATTATAAAAACTGTTTGTAATTTTGAGCATACGTAAAATTTTCCCCGGGGGGCATGTGAAGTCCCAAACAAAATTTGGGCCCTATCAGTTCAGCCGTTATGACATTTTTTTGGATACAAACGGACAAACAGACAGACAAGCAAAGTTTATATATAGATTATTATTATTATTATTACTTCATTGTTATCATTATTTTTATTTTTATTATTCTTAATACCAATATCTTGGTAACTTCGTGGTGTAAACCTTTTATAATGAACTCGGGGCTTATTTGATTTTAAAGAATTGATATTATAAAAGATTAAAGGTTTGGGGTTGAAAAGATAAAGGAAATTACAAATCAGAGTTTGTGGCAAAAACTTTGTTCCATTGTATAAGCTGGACTCATCCTACACTAAATTCTATCCATCTCATAAAGAAAAAAGGAGATGAAATGCATATATAGAAACTACGACCTTTTTTACTGGATGATCTGCTTATAAAATTTGTCATTTCTATATATGCAATATCATCACCTTTCTTCTCGATGAGATAGATATATAGTCAGCAATTCATAATGTTGTGAATGTCATAGTTTTTCCTTACTTACGTAAACGTTTAGTTAAATTTGTTGATGCTTTACTCTGACTCAAGGGTTGATAGAGCCTGGGAAAACTATGGGTACATTTGGAAATTAAGAAATTATACAGGATTTCCCAAACAAAACTTTGCAGTAGGGATATTGGGTACGGAGGGATCAATCTTCAAAATCAATGTGTTATTAAAAAGCTCTATTTTTCAGTTATATTAAAGTTTAACTTTTTTCTTTCTAAACCATACTTATTACGTTACAGTCACTCCCCAGAAATTATGGCAAATCTAAAGGACGTCCATATGACGTCATCAATTACCAACCTGACATCCATGTGTCGTCATCTTGTAGATTTTGGGGACATTGTTAACCAGTAAAAGGCACCCTTTTTAATATCCCGGCGACCTTTCTTTCGTCATTGAAATTACATCACTTTGGATGTCGAATATGCAAAATTTTGTAGAGTATTGTAAAATTTTACAAAATTACTTTGTAGAAGTTATGCTATATTACACTGTAATTTCGAGAAATTGAAGTTTTACTAATTATACGTGATTATTGTAAAAATTTTCAAAACTACATGGTAGAAATTATTCAAAATCACGTTGTAATTTTGAGAAATTGAAGTTCTGCTAATTAGGCGTGATTATTGCAAAATTTCGCAAAATTATTTTGTAGAAATTATGCGAAATTGTGCTAATTTTTCATAATCCCGTGAAATTACGTAAAATGAAAATAATTTTGTGTAACTGCGCGTAATTTCTCGTAAGTAAATAATCAATTACAGTGTAAACCCTAATTGAAGAAATTGAAAAACATGGTTTATTCAGAACCCAATACCCCTTCTGCAAATACTTTAATTTTTTATCAATGTCCACTGTCCAGGGATGAGTATCAGAGCAGACTAGACGCAATAAAGCAGTATCTTGTGTTCAGGAAGGTCGGGGATGAACTTGAAACACGGTGAATTCAATTCAACTTTTTTACATTGTTGTATTAAAATTTAGAACAACAAGGCTTTTTAGATCGCTTCGCGCATATCTTCTATTAAACTTTTAATTTTGGGTTTATCTGTGAGCATCCTCAGAATAAAAAAAAATTAATAGTTTGGATTTCATAATATTTTTTTGCGCATTTTCAAAATTTTACAAAATAAAAAACTTTTAAAAACAAATATTTAAAATTTTGCTCATTTATAAACCTTCCCTGGGGTCACGTCAGGTCCAACACAAAATTTGGGACCGATCGCCTCAGTTGTTTTGACGTTAATTGGATTCAAACAGACAAGCAAAGTATATATATGTACATACTAGGCTTTTGGGGCGCTTCACGCCCATTTTCTATGAAATTTTAGCAGTTTATGAGATAATTGTACTTAATTATATTTAAAGGCTTATAGGTTTCAAGTAAATAGGCTCTAAATTAATTAGTATTTAGCAAGTAGCATGAATTGATTTGAGGAGGGTAAGAAAAAAAGGTAGAATTTTGGTAGGATGATAAAATAGTTCAAATTCTGCAGGGTGATGAAATTGACAGTATTTGAAGGACGTTAAAACGGTAAAAATTTGGCAGGGTGCTAGAATAAATCAAATTTGGCAGGGTGATAGAATAAATCAAATTTGGCAGGGTGATAGAATGGTATCAAATTTGGCAGGGTGATAGAATAAATCAAATTTTGCAGGGTGATAGAATAAATCAAATTTTGCAGGGTGATAGAATAAATCAAATTTTACAGGGTGATAGAATAAATCAAATTTTAAAGGGTGATAAAATGGTTTGAATATCTATGGAACAATAAACAATCCCTTGATGAGGATCAGGTTATGGGAATGCTTCCTGACAAACTTAAGGTTAGAATGTTTCAAGAAATCAATAAATCAAACAATCATGAAATCAGTTAGTCAATAACTCAAGGAATTAATCAATCAATCAATCAAGGAATCAATCAATCAATCCTTGACAAAAAGAAATAAAGAAAATAATGTAACTTATAATACATAATACTTATAAAATAAGCCTTTCCTAGGATAATGTGAATAGTATTACAGTTGGCAGAATAAAAAATTGGCATCATTGTGCAGATAATTGATTAATTACTAAATGTTAACCAAACAATAAAAACTAATAAATCATTCAAATTTAACTTGCTAATTAATAATGAAATCTGTGTTTACTTTCCAAAGTTATTTTGCGATCACATCATATTTTTCAGGCAGAGATTGCAATGCATGTTCATTTAGAAACACTAAAGAAGGTTAAAATTTTCCAGGTAATAGATAACAATTTTGCAATTAACTATTTGATCTAATTAACATGTTAAAAACTATGTTAAAAAATGGCTACAGACAGCAGCAGAAAATCAATATTTGAATGAAATAATGTGAAATGAAATCTAATTAACCTTTTGCAACAAAAAGACGGTTTTTTCAAGTTTTTAATGATTTTTTCTGCCTTAAATATTTAAAAAAATTCTACTATAAGAAAATCAGACAAAATTGATTGTTAAGGATTAACCACAAAAGAGAAATTTTCAAAGCTGTGCAAAATATAATACCTAACTCGTCCTCTGATCTGAACAATTTATTTGAGATACACTTGAATACAATTGAAGAACACTTGAATATAATATATCTCTGATAATTGTTCAGGGAACAAATCTAAACTGAGTGCGTGGATCTGGGTTAATCAGATTGTAAACATTGCAGTACACTGATCTAAACAACATAGTAAAAAGAGCAACTACTATATTCATGATAAATATTTACTGTAATTGTAAAATGTATAATACCATAAAATTTGCGAATTATTAAAATTATGCAACTTTATTGGCTTTGGATAAACTAAAATTAAGTTTTAATTTCTCTGCCACCTAGGAATGTGAAAAAGGTTAGTCAAAAAGTTTGATTGAAGTAAATGAAAATAAATTGAAACTGTTAAATGCGTTGATTAAACAAATGTTAAAAATTTTGAATTTTTTGAAACTTTTGAATTAAATTTTTTTTTTCTCTTTACAATTTTTTTTTGAATTTTTGGAAACTTTTGAATTCCCTCCCTCTTTCAGGTTTATTGGTTGATTTAGTGCTGAAGCTGAAACTTGAAGTATTCTCACCTGGAGATTATGTTTGTAGGTATTCCAGGAGTATATACTCCAGTAGGTATTCCAGGAGTATATACTCCAGTAGGTATTCCAGGAGTATATACTCCAGTAGGTATTACAGGAGTATATATTCCTGTAGGTATTCCAGGAGTATATACTCCAGTAGGTATTCCAGGAGTTTATATTCCTGTTGGTATTCCAGGAGTAAATATATTCCTGTAGATATTCCAGAAGTATATATATTCCTGTAGATATTCCAGGAGTAAATATATTCCTGAAAGGTCCCAAGAGTATATATTCCTGTAGGTATTCTAGGAGTATATATTCCTGTTGGTATTACAGGAATATATATATTCCTGAAGGTATTCCAGGAGTATATATATTCCTGTAGGTATTCCAGGAGTATATTTTCCTGTAACCGGTTATTATTCCAGGAGTATATATATTCCTGAAGGTATTCCAGGAGTATATATTCCTGTAAGTATTCCAGGAGTACATATATTCCTGTAGGTATTCCAGGAGAATATATATTTTATTCAAAACCCCCCCCCCCCCCCCCATTTTGAAAACTATCTTTTACCACCACTTTATTTCTCCTGAGTGGAAAAAAAATAATTTTTGGAAAGAACCAAATCATTGAAATCATTAAATCAAATCAAAAAATGAATCAGTTATCCTCTGAAAAAGCTCAAAATATAGTAATAAAACTGCTGTTTTTTAACAAAAAGAAACAATCAAATCTTCAAATTTTCTAAATTAATTGATTGAAGAATGAAAATGTATGAGGAAACCTAGAAAACTTTTTTTATGTCAAACTTGTTTGCTTAAGTGATTTTTTAGTTTTGTGAAAGATGATATTCTTAGAATAATTGTTGTTTTAGGAAAGGAGATGTAGGCAAGGAAATGTATATAATCAAGGAAAGTCAAATTTTCTAAAAACACAAGATGTTTGTTCGGATTTAATTTTTTTAAATTTAGCCCAAGGACTCCCAACCCAGCCAAGTTAACCCTAAACAGGCTTGAGGTGGGGTGCATTTGGCACCCCGCCTGTAGTTTTTTGTCCTAGCACTCTCATTTTTGACACTTTCACCGTGAAATTTTGTGACTTTTAATGAAAGTAATTTAAAGGATTTTCTATTAAAAATATATTTCTTTAATATATAGGGTAGGGTACAGGGCGGGAAAAAAGTCCGGTCTGTGAAAAAAAATCTAAAATAGACCTATAACTTTTTTGTGACTAAAGCTACAGATCTNCTACTGATCAACTGATCTACTGATCAACTGATCTACTGATCAACTGATCTACTGATCAACTGATCTACTGATCAACTAATCAACAGAGGTTAATATCATCCTAATTGTAAGAAACACACAAAATTATAAATTTTTCTGATTACAAATTACCACATCACTCAAAAAGTAACATGATCCGAGCCAGTACAACATGTACTGCTTAGTGTATATGCGTTCAGCCGTACTGTCTAGTCTGGACTATCCAGTGTAAAGTCCACCCACCACGTTTTATGTAACAAAAGTAGCCTGACAAGATTACTCTGATATTAGCATACTCCGAACTAGTTCAAGGATTTACTTACACAGTTACGCAAACCAGCTTGTCTAGTGAACCCAGTGTTTAGTGGACCCAGCGTTTTATGCAACAAAGGAATTGAGTCTTTGTCACAAACTCTGCTTTTCTAAACCCTATATCTTTGGATTCAAATGTCGTTATAGACCTTAGATATTTCAAACTATGAATTCTGTTAGCTCAAATAATATAAGGTTGAAATATCAAAGATTTACGACATTGGGTTCCAAAGATATAGGGATTATAAATTCAGAGTTTGTGGCAAAAACTTAATTCCTGAGTGAGCTGGGTACACAAGGGTTACTCCCTTAAAATAATAAGATTTATTGGACATAGGTTATTAATGGATGAAGGTATAGTCTAGGGAACGGTTGTTTAAGGAGAATCTATGAAAGGTTTCCAATTGAGAGGATTTATCTGTCTCCCACAGGGTTTTGCTTAATTGGGGGGAATAATTGTTCAACGACTGTTCAAACCTATAAATAGAATAGTCCACTGTATATTGATTAATGGATAATTCTCATACTTGGAGGGATGTTCCTCGAAATTTCAAAGGACCTTCCATGCAAAATAAAAAGAGGGGTATGTCTAATTGGTGTTAGACCATTTCCCCAGTCACAACTTCCACAACAGCAATTTCCTTAGCAGCTAATTTCCCCAACACTAACTTCCCCAGTCACTAATTTCCCCAACAGCAACTTCCCCAACCGCTAATTTCCCCAACACTAACTTCCCCAGTAACTAATTTTCCCTACAGCAACTTCCCCAACACCAATTTCCCCATGCAGTAAAATTCTTAATTTCCCCAACAGCAACTTCACTTCACAACGGCTGTTGCTACACATTTTGAATGTTTCCTTTTCCCCACACAGTTCCAGAATGATTTAGATTTGTCCCTTGACATTGATTGCAGGTTGTACTCATACTTATTGGGATCCACCAGAACATTTCTCTTCTTCGAGGACAGTGTATAAACTGCCAACATTGTCGACTCTAATCCAAATGATTTTTCACATTCAAAAAGTTGCGAATTTTTTTACCTTAAAATTGCGCATTTGTTCATTGGAATAATGTTAAAAACGGAAATATTTGATATTTTACTGCATGGGGAAATAGTTTTTGTGAAAATTGCTGTTTTACTGCATGGGGAAATTGTTGTTGGGGAAGTTGCTGTTGTGGAAATTAGTGGTTGGGAAATTATTGTTGGGGAAAATGTCTCGGGGAAGTTGTGACTAGGGAAATTGCGCTGGGGATCTAACCTAACACCGTCTAATTCACAATGGTCCCCATTAAATCATTGTCTAAATGTGGAATACGACCACAAACATTAAATTAAACAAATTACGATTTTTTGGCTAAAAACAAGAAACTAGTGAAAATTTTCTAAAATAAAACTTAAATTGAAAAGTAATGATTAAAAAAAAATCTTTTAGAATAATGTAAAAATTCCCCAAATTATTCACAAAGAATATATGCATCAATGCTTTCTATTGCTTCAAAACGGCCTAAAAAGCATTATAAAAGTATTTTTGACAACTTTTAGATTTATGTAATAAAAAGTTAACTCAAATATCTGAACAATAAAATAAAAACTAACAAAACAACTTAATCGGATTAAATGCTTAAATTCAGCAAAATAAAAACGTGCAAATGTAATTTTTCGTAAATCTCTGAATACATTGAATCTATTTTGAATCTATTGTTAATTGAAAATCCATTAAGTTCATTCAATCTATTGTCTAAAAAGTAATATTTGTTAGGTGTTTGCTACGCTTGGAGACGGAGTTGTGTTTGGTGAACTCTCAATTCTAAATGTTCCTGGAAGTAAGGTAGGATGAGCAGGGGGGAAGGCAGGCGGCCATAAGCGACAACATGTTTCCCTTTCATGCCAAATATTTGCAATTTTCTTGTTAAATAGTGCAAATTTTTGGTTATGGGCATTGATTGAACAAAAAACAGCTCATTCAGTAATTAGCAATTTAAAAAAAAACAGAGATCGTTAGAAAAGGTCAATTTTCCTATTTTTTCAATGTATTTTGATTGCGAAAAATGAAAGGGGTATAGGCTTACGGCGAAAAAAATAAGTGCTTTTGATCGCTACTAATCTTACTTCTATCTGCTGCGTCTATAAGGAGAAAATTGTTAAAAACGACTCATACCGTAAAACCTAACATTTAACTCATAAAATAATCAATTTAATTCCAAACAAATAATTCAGATATTACAAACAATAGTCTTCGATTATTTTTAGACGCATTCATACACAGTTAATATTTCATAATAATTTTGATTTTTTTTTTAATAATATTTCACTTTCTGAAGTAAGTCAGATCATGAAAAATGAAAAAAATATTATGAAATATCAACTATATACGAGTGCGTCGAAAAATTTTCGATGGCTATTGTTTGTAATATCTGAATGATTTGTTTCGAAGTAAATTGATTTGTTTACAATCCGAGTTGAATGTTGCAACTTTCTGAATTTGTATGGACGCTATGTTCTTTGATATGAGTCGTTTTTAAGAATTTTCTCCTTTTAGACGCAACAGATAGAAAATAAGATTAGTTGCGATCAAAAGCGCTTATTTTTTGCTGTAAGCCTATAACCCCTTTTTTATTTTTCGCGAACACTCCCTTTAAGTGACAAATTCAATCAAAATTAACTTGAAACCTCATTTTTAGATGCTTAGTATTAAACTTTAATTTAATCAACCAGTCCATTGCAAGAACTGAGTGGGGCTACAAGGCCTAAGCATAGTTTAAGCCCGTTCATGCAGACCAGTTCAAGTACATATGTCCCTTGAGGTCACTGTCACATTGGGGCTAACTTCATTTACAAATTAAACAATTTTAAACAGTTTTTTTATAATCTAAAATTTAGATACTTGTTGTTTAACTTAAAATTTAAATTTTTCTATATTTAACATTAAATTCATTCATAGTTCTCTGAGAAATTGTTTTTAACTTTTCTGAAAGGAATAATCTTAGATTAAAAAACAAATATGAGGGGCCACCAGTTCATTTGTTAAAACTTTCTCTTTTATAGAATACAAATACCCTGAAATTGATGACGCTTTGCACCTCTTTAGAAACTACTACCTTGTCTGATCATTTGTCCCAGTGTCAAAAAAAGAAAAAGAAAAAAAATTCTTTTGCGCAAGGCGCATCATTTCTAATAAAATTTGTCTAATTACCCAGCAAGAACCGGAGCGTCGTGGACAGTGTCCAGTCAAGGACGTCCTAAAGCATCCTCGGAGACCCTCAATTTTCTAAAATA